GCCCAGATGCTCGGTTGCATCCTACTGATTGTATTTTAGGATTACTGTTTGATCAACTGATTGAATAATTTAATCTGTGACAAGATTACAAATCTAATTTTCAAGTTGAGCTTCCTTTTTTGTTGATTAAACCAGTTATTCCCAGTTATTTTAGCATCTCTGGGCTTGTCTGCATCCCTGCTGTGCTGAGTAGCAGCAGCAGACTTGTAGGCTTGCATGCTTTGGTGCAGAAGATAATCCTCTGGTTGTCCCTGCTTGGCTGAGAAGTGGCAAGGAATTCCACTGCTCACCCCACAGGGAGGTTGGAGCCCAGCCAAGTGTTCCCTTTGTGGGCAAAATGGTACCCAGAGAGTGTTTTCTCTACAAGTGAGATGCTCAGTTAAGGCCCCATTTTTGTCCTGTACTGTTGACTTTTAGCATCTAAAATTAACAGTTTATAAGATGGCTGATTTTAATGGAAATTGTGTCAGACATAAAGCTCAGCTGAGGTGGAGGAGGTATGGGAATTTGAGCCTAAGGTGTGTTCAACAATCTCTATGTGGAGGGACTGCTGGCATCTGTTCTGTGTTACTTTGTGCTTGGGGCCTAGTGAGTTGGAATCCAACTTCTAGATGGCTCCGTTCTGCCAGAGCCCTGGCTGTGCTCTTTGCAGGTTTGAAGCACGGGGATGTGCAAGGCATCGGCTCCACTCCACTCCACTGCACTAGCACCGAGTTCTGTCTTGGTGGTTGAAGGGAAGAAACCCCTGCCTCTCAGACAATGGCTTCTGCCTTCAGTCACGTGCACACCTGTCCACCTTCCACCCTTGTGCCACCAGCTGTACTCCACAGAAAAGGGTCTTAGTTCTCAGAAGAGTCCCAGTGTGTGCAGAGCCAGTGAGCCAAGAAAATGCTTAGGAAAGGCCTTCGGTGCGGAATACATGCTTTAGGACCTTGTTACAAGGGCCCTTTGTCTAAATTTCTGAGTAATCTGGCCATGCCCAGTAATGGTGGCAGCATTACAGTCTCATGCTTCTCTGGGCCCTTTTCCTCCCTGTTCAGTAAGCACTTAAGCTAGATGTGCCACCTGATGAAGCCAGGCAGGTGGCCTTTGAAAGGTGGTGCTTTGAGGGTCAGCCTCAAAGAAATCTAAGACAGTCAACAAGAGCTTCTGTAACCCTTTCAGACACAGTATTGGTTTATTTTTAAAATTTTTATCATAGCCCTAGCTGGTTTGGCTCAGTGGATAGAGCGTCAGCCTGTGGACTGAAGGGTCCTGGGTTCGATTCAGGTCAAGGGCACATGCCCAGGTTGGGGGCTTGATCCCCAGTAGGGGTTGTGGAGGCAGCTGATCCATGAATCTCTCTCATTGTTGATGTTTCTATCTCTCTCCCTCCCCCTTCCTCTCTGAAATCAATAAAAGTTTAAATCTATTTTTATTGATTAAATATATTTTTATTGGATAATGTTACACTGCTTCATCACAGAACTCATCACCATTCTATCAACTTTCCAAAATCATGGCCTGGACATAAATCAGATAGAGGCTTACTCAATGGTTCCTGTAATATGAGAAAACACTAACTTCAGTGAAAGACAACTGGAAGTATATTATAATCATAAATGTTTTGTGAAAGTTGCTGAGAGTCAACCTTAAAAGTTCTCATCACAAGAAACAGATTCTGTAACTGTGTTGATGTTGACTTACTGTGCCAATCATTTTGCAATATATACAAATATTGAATTATTACATTGTACACCTAAGACTGATGCATGTCAATTATACCTAAAAAAAAATAAAATTCTTAAAAAACAAAAAACCCACATTTATTTATGAGTCTAGATCAGAGTGAAGAATATATTTAATATAAAAAAGCAACAAGATGGAATAAAAAGAAACAAATAGAACATCCATCTGAAGGAACCTAAAGAAAATAACAAAGTATAAAAAGAGGTAGAAATAGCCCTAGCTGGTTTGGCTCGGGGTCTTGGGTTCGATTCTGGTCAAGGTCACATGCCCAGGTTGTGGGCTCGATCCCCAGTGTGGGCCATACAGGAGGCAGCTGATCAATGATTCTCATCACTGATGTTTGTATCTCTCCCTCTCCCTCTCCCTCCCTGAAATCAATAAAAATATATTTTTTTAAAAAAAGTCAAATTCAAAGCACATGAAGTCTCTATCCCCAAGAATTGAAAGAGATATTATTCTAAATGTTCATGGCAACATTATTAACAATAGCCAAAAAGTGAGTGTCCATTGATGGATTAATGAATAAACAAAATGTAGTATCCTATATAATAAAAGGCTAATATGCAAATCCACCAAACAGGGGGACAACCAGTCACTATGACACGCACTGACCACCAGAGGGCAGACGCTCAACGCAGGAGCTGCCCCCTGGTGGTCAGTGCGCTTCCACAGGGGGGAGCACTGCTCAGCCAGAAGCCCAGAAGTCGGGCTCAGGCTGGTGAGGGCAGCAGCAGTGGCTGAAGCCTCTCCCGCCTCCACAGCAGTGCTAAGGATGTGTGACTGACAGTTTAGGCCCAGCTCCTTGGGAGCTGTCAGTCGGACATCCCCCAAGGGCTCCAGGACTGTAAGAGGGTGCAGGCCGGGCTGAGGGACACCCCCTAGTGCACAAATCTCACGCACCAGGCCTCTAGTATACGTACAATGAAATACTTTTCAGCTTTAAATAGGAAGAACATTCCAACACATGCTACACCATGAACTGGTCTTGAGGACAGCATGCTAAGTGAAATAAGCCAATCACAAAAGGACAAATATTCTATGATTCCATTTATGTAAAGTAGTTAGCCAAAATCATAAGGGACAGAGAACAGAATGATGGTTATTAAGGGCTGGGGGAGAGGAGCTTGAGGAGTTATTTAATGGGTATAGATCAGGGGTGGGCAACCTTTTTGTGAGTGCGTGCCAAAACCAGCAAAATCTCTGACTCAAAATTCTGCGTGCCAACCCTAATTTTTTGAGAACATGTTACGCCTACTTGATATCTTTTAAGGTGTACGTATGTGAAGAACCTTGAAGAAATAATAAAATTCATTCTAGTGACAAAAACACAGTATATGATGATGAAAAATACATTTTTAAAAATATATTTTATTGATTTTTTACAGAGAGGAAGGGAGAGGGATAGAGAGTTGGAAACATCGATGAGAGAGAAACATTGATCAGCTGCTTCCTGCACACCCCCTACTGGGGATGTGCCACAACCAAGGTACATGCCCTTGACTGGAATTGAACCTGGGATCTTTCAGTCCGCAGGCCGATGCTCTATCCACTGAGCCAAACCAGTTAGGGCAATACATTTATTTTTTAATGTATACATGTACACTGAGAGTCCAACAGAAAACTTTATGACTCCGTTTGATATTATCAGTGGGACTATTGCTGCTGCGTCACTGATGACAGAGATTTTACATCAGGTTTATATTTCGTGACCTTCAGAGATATGCATGAGCTACTACTTTCATCCGTCAGGCTACTCCTATTAAGAGACTTAACAAAATTCATCACTGAGAACAAAGATTCACAAGCGTGTGTGGATGAACACATGGAGAGTAACGCTGTTGCAAAGTTTTTTAAACAGAAAAAATTTTCTGGAATGGCATTCCAAGTCCTCAATAGTTTGTTTTCGACACTATTGAAATTGCTTTTCCCCTCTCTTGTCAATCCATGTCTATGGTCTTTAAGATAACTTGTTATGTAAAATTATTTATTTATCTAAGATGCACCTACACTGAATTTATCTGAAAAATAAAAAAGTTGATATTAAGAAAAAAATTGTAAATGGAAGATTATAAGAGAGGGTTTTGCGTGCCAGCCAAAGTTACTGGCGTGCCATGTTTGGCATGCGTGCCAGGGGTTGCCCACCCCTGGTATAGAGTTTCAGTTTTACTAGATGAAAAGAGTTTATGTAAATGTACTTAACACTACTGAACTGTACATTAAAAATAGTTTAAAAGGTATATTTTATATATTTGCCATAATGAAAAAACAGGTGTATAACCTGCACGAGTAATAGGTTACTCCACACACACCAATATCCCCACTTCAAAGATGCAACCTCCTCCTCAACCCTCCGCAATGGAGTTCACTCAGCCCCAGCTGCCCACCCCAACAGCCTCGGACAGGCCCTGGTGGGGAAGTGGGTGTCCAGAAGTTTATATCACACCCAGAGTCCCCCACGCCAACCTGGGAGGGAAGGCCTATGTTTCCAAGTCTCACCCTCCAAGTTTGCTTTAACTTGGCTTCTTAATGGCCGGGTGACCAGAGAGTCTTTTCTATCTACGCCTTTGGCGCCCCCTTAAATGTACAATTTAATGTCTTTTAGCAAATTTAAGAGTTGTGCAACCCTCACCACAGTCCAGTTTTAGAACATTTTCACCACCCCACTTAGCCTTTCTAAGGCCCGGCATCTTCATCTATAAATGGAGATAACACGAGCAGAGTGAAAGGTTTGGAGTGGGCCGGGGTTGCGCACCTATGACATGAGGCCATAATGTATCAAAAAAGATTTTATTCCGACCACATGGGTGCAGGTGGGCTGAGACCGAGAAAAGCATCAGCGAAGAGAGGAGGGAGAGATAGGTTTTTATTAACTTTGGCTGGCTGCTGACGTAAGGGTCTGGTCTGTCCTTGCTTTCTCCCAGGCCAGGTGTCTTCTGGTTATCTGAGCTATGCTGTGCTTAAGGCTGCAAGCTTTCTGCAAGGTATCTGCTAAGCACAGTAAGTCTTTCTCTGCCCCGTTTTATTCTCTTTAACCCTTCCACTTAGCACGCAATAGGCCACAAACAAATTTTGCCTGTTATTTTACTTGCTGTGTTTAGATTGCTATGTTCTCTCACTCGCAGACAAGCCCTAGCCACGTGACGCCCGCGAGTGCATAGCGTCACCCGGGAGGGGAGGTGGGGCCCAGCAAGAGAAGGCGAGGTGCTCGGGTTCTGCCCACTGCCCCGCCCCACGCCCACCCCCTGCGATCGCGGAATCGGGCCTCGCCAGGCGCCCTGGCTGCGTCGGGCGGCGCGGCTCCGGGCTGGATTGGTGATGCCTGGGAGTCACGGGCGCCTGCGCAGTGGGTAGGGCCGCGTTCGCCCCGCCGCTGAGGGAGTAACGCCGAGTGGGCCGGAGCGGGGTGCTTGGCTGCTCTGCCCGTCGGCCGCACCATGGCGGAGGAGGAGCTGGAGGCTCTGCGGAAGCAGAGGCTGGCGGAGCTGCAGGCCAAGCACGGGGTGAGCGCGCCCGCCGCCCGTTCGGCCCTTTTCCCGCGGGGCGCCGCCCTCGCCCGAGGTGGAGGGCGCGGCGGCTCTAGGCGCCTCGGCCGGCGCTCGGCCCGCGGGCGGAGAACCCGCGGCTGCCCCGAGGCCGTCCCGGGCCTCTCCCTGTCGCGTGGGTTTTCGGCGGCCGGCCGGCCACGTGCTCTCCCGGGTGGGTCCGGTCGGGCCTCTCTCGGGCCGGGTTGGGCTCGCCTCCAAGGCCTGGCCGGGCCGGCGTCGGCCCGAAGGAAACGTCCCGCTCCTCGGGTCTCTGCTCCGTAGCCTCGGGGTCCAGCCTGTTTCCGCTGCTGGTTCCGGCGGGATTGTTCCCTAGAATTCTGACCCCAGCAACCTTCCCGCGTTTGTTGCCGGTCCGCTGTGTGCCCGGTGCTGAGGGGACAGCGGGGAGCATCCCATCTCCTGTGACGGAGTGACGGTCTCGGGGAGGAGCCAGGCTCTCGGCACTCATCCCATAGATAAAATCCTCCAGTAATGGCTGCAGGAAGGAGAGGGAGCCGGCTGGGTACGGGCTGGAACGCGATGGTCTCCCAGGAGGTGCCGTTGGAATCCTCAGCATTCCCCCCCCTTTCCCCCCCGAAATTATTCTTACCCCGTAAAATGCGGTTCCATTGTACGGGGACTCCCCTTCCTAATGGTTGTTTGTATTCTAAAACATTCTATTAGATTGTGACTTTAGATTAGAAGCTTATCAAAACATTGATTTTTTTTTTTTTTTTTTGCCCTAACCGATTTGGCTCAGTGGATAGAGCGTCGGCCTGCGGACTGAAAGGTTCCAGGTTCGATCCCTGTCAATGGCATGTACCTTGGTTGCAGGCACATCCCCAGTGGGAGGTGTGCAGGAGGCAGCTGATCGATGTTTCTCTCTCATCGATGTTTCTAACTCTCTATCCCTCTCCCTTCCTCTCTGTAAAAAATCAATAAAATATATTTTTTTTAAAAAACACTGATTTTTAAAATTTGATATTTTTTAATTGATTTTAGAGAGGGAGAAGCATCAACTTTGTTGTTCCACTTATTTGTGCATTGCTTGATTCTTTTTTTTCTTCTATTTTTTAAAAAAATATATTTTATTGATTTTTTACAGAGAGGAAGCCAGAGGGCTAGAGAGTTAGA